AGATGGTTGTATGTCATAGCTGCACATCCTTCTAGTTGCTGTATGTGGGACTCGGCCTCAGGATGGATGGAGAAGTGGTGCCTCGATGCGCACCCGGGATCCGAACCCAGGCCACCAGCATTGCAGCGCGCGCACTTAACCACCAAGCCACAGGGCCGGCCCGCATGACTGTATATTAAACAGTGAAAATTATATCCAACCTATAGCAAATAACAACACTTACTTGTATCAAAATATTTACATCGACGTGGACGGATTATTTCCTGGGCATCTTGAGAAGCAACAGATTGTGATGGATCATCATTAGAAGACTGAGTTTCATCCTCTTGACCTGATGAATCTTTTGTATTCTCTTCCTGTGGAATAATAAATTAAACTTCTTTAAGATGTAAAGAAAATTGTTGCAGATGCAAGGTCACAGTATTTCAAATACAACTAGAAGACTAAAATAAATATACTAAATGCAGCACGGTCTCCTGGGTTGGATCCTGGAACAGGAAAAAGGACATTAATGGAAAAATTGGTAAAATCTGAATTGTCTGTAGTTTAATTAATAGTATGGTACCAGTGTTTATTTCTTAGTTTTGATAAATACACCATGGTTACATAAGATGTTAACATTAGGGGAAGTTTGGTGAAGAGCATTCAGGAACTCTCTCTGTACCATCTCTGAACCTGTTCTGTAAAACTAAAATTACTTCAAAAAAAAAAAAAAAAATAAGAAAAATGAATACAGAATTGCCAATTAGCCTTTATTACTTAAAAACAATAGCATTTTTAAAAAGTTGCTACAAATTTATTTACAATAGGCATTGAAAAGAAATCTGGAATGACACAGAGAAAACTGTTACCACTCCTCTCAGGAGTGAATTACAGGGGACTTCCAATTTTTATTACATATTTCTGTATCTTCATTTTTAACATTTAAATGTATTACTTTTAAAATCAGAAAGAGTAAAGATAGATTACAAAAAAAAAAGTCAAAATGAATATATTAATAAATTATAACTTCAATAAGAATAAAGATTATGATCTTAAAAATATATGTGTATAACCTTACTTTATTTTCCCCACTACAGCCACTGTTATCATCATTATCGGCATCTTCATCATCTTCACCTTCTTCTTCCTCTTCCTCCTCCTCCTCATCTTCTTCAGGCAGTCGAATAGTACTATCATAACCATAAAGGCTGAGAAGTTCATGAATTGGCATGTCACCTTCCTAAACAGATCAAAATAAAAAGTTAATTTCAGAGTAAGTGATATTTCATACTCCTATAATTCACAAATCTAGAGTATTCATTCCATACACAATACTCTTAGAACTGTATCAAGAATTCTCAAAGCATAAAAAGTGAAACTAAAATAATTCTGAAACTTAGAAAAATCCCAGTCTTTTAAGAATTTCTATAAGAGACTGACCAATTCTAATGGCTAACAACAAAATCTTTAAATATAATAAAAAATGACATTGGTCACTTTTCTTTCTTCATTATTCTTTTGTGCAATCAATTCAGTAAATGTATACCGACAGTCAGATAACACTATGTATGGATGTTCACACTTAATAAGAGTACCATACATAATTCAGGAGTGGAGAAATAGAATAATTAGAAAATAGACTGTAAACTAAATTAACAAACCCAGAAATGGAAATGAAATTCACATGCCAGCCCAAACACATTAAAAGCAAATAGCACTGATATACCGGAATGATACTGGATTTCACTAGCTCTTTTCTAGGGTTATCTAAAATTACATATAAAATCATCTCATGCAATCCCTACTGTCTTACAAAACCGTTATATTATCTCCATTTCATAGATGAGGAAACTGAGGCTGACAAATTAAACAATTTCTCCAAAAATCACACAAGTTACAAGTAGTGGAGCAGATTTCAAGACTAATTCCAAAAGCCCACACTCCTAGTGCACCATGCTGCCTCAGCCAGGGACCCTCCCAACCCCACAGAAAACACACCCTCTGAGGGTGAAATGAAGAAATATCCAGATGCAGAGAAATGAAATCAGCTTTCTGCAGAAGGTATCACTCTAATCAGTAATCAAGTGATATAAAGTATCAGGGAAACATGACAAAATTCCAATTATAAAAAGAAAACTTAACCCAAATGACCTGAACATATTATACACACATGCGCACACTGAAGAAAAACTTAACAGAGAGAATCAGTTTAGAACCTGGAAAAAGGGTAACCATGAAACAAGACATGTTTTGTATTTCCCCAGCAGTCTTGTAGCCTCACTCAGGGACAGAAATAAGTCTAGCCCATGCGTTAAATACAGTGTTACAACCTGACGACACTAACCACTTAGATCATACAATTAACTACCCCCACTCAGAATTCCTGTGCAAGAAACAACTCACGATCATAATTTGAAAAATTTTCTTACAGGAAGGAAATGCTGTTTAACACTTCTATTTCACACTCTAAATGGATACTCTAGTTATAAATCAGTTTGTGAATCTGTTTCTGAACGAGGAATCAATTCTGAGAGCCCTCATGACCTGCAGCAGCCACAACCTGAAGGGGTAAGTCTATCAGGCTTTAGTTCTGTAAGAACTAAAACAGAACTTCACAATCAAGAAAGAAGTAGAGTGAGGGAAAGATACAAAAAAGGTTGTTTGTATACAGAATAATAACAAACAGCTGACATAAAGTATCTTCGATGTGCTAGGTATTTGTGATAAGTGCTTTGATTCCACTTTCTTATTCTATCCCTTTTCTTAACACAAGCAGAGTGAGAGTATTACACAATCTCATTACATCTTTAAAAGTACCAGACGGGAGTATTTGCTACCTTTATTTGGTAAATAAAATCAAGCAGAGAGAAACATCATGCACTGACAGAGCCTTTACAGTAATACCCAGACCTCCTAATTCCAGCTCATATTTTTTATGAACTCATTCTGCACCACAAATTAAAAGCAGGTTTAACAACTGAAATAACTACCATGAAAAGGAGCCACTGAAATATCTAGTATGAATAAAGGACAAACCAGGAAAAACACGTTAGCATCAGTTTGCAACTAATATTTTCATGGACCTTAAGAATTCATAAACAGCTTGTTTCACAAAGTCATGTGTCGCTAGACAACGGGGATACATTCTGAGAAACACACTGTTAGGCAATTTTGTCGTGCAAACATCAGAGTGTACTAAAGGGGAACAAAATGTGCCACCCCAAAATGTGTCTCTTTTAATATGAGGATTACTTTAGGATGCTTATTTTTAATAAACAAGACTCCAAGTTCTTCTTGTTACCTCTCTCTTAACTGACTAAAAGAATTCAGATAAAAAGACCTGTCTCAGGAAGCTGAGCCATCACCTTAGCATAACATGAACTAAGTGGCAGACGGGGAGGAACCTAGAAAAGCCTGTTTGTTGGGCTCCTCTCAGTGTTCCGATTCTGTGTGGCCAAACACTTGTTTCCCAAATGTGTGCTCCTTTTCACCTACCTGTGAACTGCCATCCTTTTGCCAATCACCTTTGAAGTCCCTTACTCTCCCCATCCCCAACATCTGTCTTTAGCTGAGGATGGTATTTAAGCTGAGGGCTTCAGCCATTTTGGTGAGTTGCTCAGTTTTCCTGGGTTTCTTCCATGTATACATGTTACTAAACTTTTGTTTTTCTGTTAATCTGTCTCATGTCAATTTAATTCTTAGACCACCCACAAGAACCTAGAATGATAGAGGAAAATTTCTTTCTCCCCTACAGTACTCACACAAACCTAGATGGTACAGCCTACTACTAGGCTATACGGTACTAATCTTATGAGACCACGGTCATACATGTGGTCCTTTGTTGACCAAAACGTTATTATGCAGTGCATGACGGTATTTATTTCATCTTTAAAACTACACTAATATACGTTACTATTACCCCTAATTTTTACAACTGAGTTAACTGGTATTTTGAGAGATTACACAAAAGGTGATAATCAAATAAATGTACTCCGACTCTCTACCTTTCGTCAGTCTTATTCAAGGGCAACAGAATCACGTGAGGGCTTATTAAAAGTGCTGAGCCCCACCCCAAAGTTTCTGATCTAGTAGGGCTGAGGTGGGGCCCGAGTGTTTCCACTTTTGTAAGTGCCAGGTGATACTGATGCTGCTGATACGAGACCACCTTAAGAACCACTTATCTCACGGTTCCAGGATAAGATACCCAAAAATCAGCCTTTCTATTGGGACGTAATAGAGCTTGATCACTATCTTTACTAAAGCTCATCACTAACATCTGACAGTTATGTGTCAAACATAGCTCAGTTATGTGTCAAAAGCATAGGTGACATACTAACTGCATGGAGAATAATTTTTTTTTTTTTTTACCACTATGAGGAATATGGAACGTCTGACATCCATGGTTAGGTCAAGATTTTTTCCTCCTGGATACGCATTTGAGAACTATGACTCACTTTATAAAAGTTCACTTCTCAAAGAAAAATTTAGCAGAGAAAAGAGGAGAGTCAAGAGTGGTTGATCCGTGTATTCGGAGGAGAAGTGCTTGAATTTGAAGAAACAGTAATAAAACTGGCAGACAGAGAAAAGTCACTCAACTCAGAAGAAGCGACAACTACACAAGTATAGGAACAAAAATGAATAAGAAGGTTACCTTAATGAGAGCAACGGTATCTGTCGTAACTAAAACAAGAAAGTCAGAACTGGTATTTTTACTATTTTTTTCTAGTTTTACTTAGTTTCTAAAGGGATATGTTATACTCTACTTCTGAGTCAATTTGAGAGTAGACATTGAGCAGTGATTGTCCCTATGCAAGGGCTTAGGGAAAACTATACACACAACAAAGTGTTCAAGATGGACTTGAGCAGGGAGAGATTTAGTTTGCCAGGGAGACTGAGCTAGGGTGGAATCCACTGCGATCACTCACGTGTAGTATAACCACAACCTAAACTCAACTAGTGGTTGTGGTAAAGAAAAACCTCAAGAGATCCTGTGGAAGAATCAACAGGATTTAACCAAGAGTTAAGTGATCAAGAGGTCCTGGTGACACCGAATCTCTGGTTCCAGACATTCCTTGGACCCAGATACACATTCATAGGACTTCTAAAAAAGTTCTTAAAAATAATAAAAACAATAAAGTTCTAATAAACTTTTAAAAAGTTCACTTTCAGTCAGTTAGTTCTAGATGGGTTCTATCACATGTAAGCAAAATATCCTTGCCTATTCCATCAGGAAAATGTTTGCTTAATATTAAAAACAAAGAGTACATACTGGTATTACGCTTTTGTTTAGGTATTAACATTTAACTTAACCTCTGTCACCAATATCAAGTAAGTAAGCAACAATTGTAACCCACTGAGGAATTCAACAGTCAGAGTTTGACAGTATTATGAAATTATCTTACTTGATCTAAGGTATAAAGCGAAGATATTGCAGCAAGCACTGGGCTACAACTACGATAAAAACCAAAATCAATTTTGCTGAGGAATCCTGAGTTTCAAATTCAAGTAGCATTTATTAGCATTTATTGTGTCCCTACTATGTGCTAAAAAAATCTTTAAGTAATTCTGCTATCAGGTATCATGTAAGGATCATTTATTGCTGTCTGCCCCCCAAGCCTTTCTTTCTACTTCTATACTCTTCTTCTTCCAGGAAATGTTCCTTCCTCCATTCCAAGCATGTATTTTGATTGAAAGCTCACCTTCTGGACCAAACAGCATCTGATCCAATTGGAATCACTGCATTCCCTGGCCATAGGTTTGGCATGGGCACATGACCCAAGCTTGGCCACAGTTTATTTCCAGATTTTTACCAATAGCAGCTAAAGAAACACAGACTATCTCAAGCAGCGAATCTAGGAGACCTGGGAACTGACTGCATATGAAGAAAGTTGGTCTGTAAAAGGACGGCACCATGCAGAAAAGCAGAAACAGAAAATATGTTCTGGTGACACTTGAGACATCCCCCTGCCCTTAATGAAATCACATAGGCCCTACACTAAATTCTTTTTTGCCTAAGCTAGTTCAAGATAGATTTCTTTATTTGCCCCCAAATATTCTGATATAAACAGTAATGATATCCTGTAAAGCAAATGTTATTTCCCTCTGAAAATAAGACTAAAAGTTTTAGTCTTAAATAAGACTAAAGATGAATAAACCGAGGCTGGCAGGACATTATTATACGAGGGCCTGTCAAGTCAGTCACCTGTTCCAGAGAATCTCTCATTAGCTAACAATGTCAAA